AAATAAAGGAACTTAACTCAACTGGACTGTTTCACCGTTGTTCTTGGGCTGGGCCTGACAGATGAGGTGTCCCATTCCTGACTTGTTTCCCTTAACAGTTTCAAGCTCTGCAAGGAGTGAGGTGCTAGGATTTCCAACTGATTTATCATCAAGAGCTTTGCGAGAACTATCCTCCAACAGAGCTTTTTCCATGCTCATCGTGGGGCCTTTTGTTAGGAACAGAGGATGAGGGATTCTGTTCACTCTGATCTGCAGGAGAAAAAAATTCTCACAAATTTCCCCCAAATTTTGTTTAAACCAGAGACCAGCACACAATTCTGTTGAAGCACAGATGATTTATTATGGTGCCAGAGGCAGTGAAAGCAAACTGAAAAAGGGCAGGCACGCAACCCTTCTATAAACCCCTCTATAAATTACAGTATGTACATGATTGGAAACAGCAAGATAATTGATCGGATATAGCAGCATTTTATGTACTAGTGAGGTCAGATATGGGGTGGGTTCTGTGAGGTAATGGGGTAGAACTACAAAGACAATGATGCACTGGGGGGAACAAGGACAGTGAGCCTATGACCTTAATTACAGTACTTTTAATGAGCTACTTTTTATGGGTTTATCTCATCCTGGTCTTGCTTCCCACAGCCTATGCTCACCCCTACTTTCTTCCAATGTTATCAAAATGTCTTAGGCTTCTAAGTGTTTTATGGCTGAGCTGGCAGGATCTATTGTTTCTCAAGTCCCTGAGAAGGTGTTTTAGGAATGGGGGTGTTTTGCTTGTCCTAACCAACACCATATTTTCTCTTGCACTTCCATCAGCCCTTTTCAACATGCTTACTTGAAAATGTCTGGCAAGGTTATCATATGTGCCTGTGGCTTTATACAATATGCTGACCAAGAGAGAGGCCCCCCTTCATGACCTAAAGGACTGGGCATGAACCTTTCATTTACCATCCAGATCAGATTGCCAGCTTGAAAAGATTAAATTTATTTTGATATAATCCTACAATATTAAGTTATCCTTGCAGATGAGTGTGCAGAGTTCACTATCCAAGAGAAATAGTAAGGTTTTAAAAAAATAAATGTAAGTATGTAAGGTTTTTTTGTTCATGGGCTGGGAGCTGGGAATTAAAGAAGAATTAAGTCTGGAAGATACTGTCCTCATTTGAGTGAGCAGGTGAGATGTATATCTACCCTAATCATAACTGACTGCATCTAACTTCTTGCAAAGCTTATAAACCTACAGCACACAGTTTCAACAGAATTGTGTTTATTTTACTGACCTGAACTGACACTGGGTATAAGAAAACAAAATTAAAATACTGACAATATGATAGGTAGAATGGAACTATATATTTCTAGGGCAACAGATGTGTAGCGGGGAGGGGGATTGAGCCCTCATATCTTTGCCCATGTAAACTGAATTGGGAAATATAAAGTTTTCCCTTCCCTCTTCTGCTGCAGTTGATGCCCAAGAAGATTGCACTGGACTTGGGAATTAATTCAGTACCCACTGCCTTTCTGTGTCTTTCCTGCTGTTGTAGTTTGTGCCCTTCCGAGACTACGTAGATCATTCCGGCAACCACGTTTTAAGCATGGCACGCCTGGCGAAGGACGTCCTAGCTGAAATCCCAGAGCAGCTGCTTTCGTATATGAAGACCCGTGACATCAAGCCCCTTTCTGCTAGACCACAGTAGCTCTGTCCTCCACATAGCCTGAGCCATTCAGATAATTCTGTTCCAGGTGGGACTGGGAAGATGCTTACCACCTAGGCAACATGGGCCCTTCCCTCTCTTTCGTTCAGAACTGGCTAGATCATGGGGGCAGGAAGTTCACTACGGGGAGGTGGGCAGGATATGAATGCCATGCTTCGCACACAAGATGAGACACCAGCACAAAAGTGTGGCTCCACCCAGAATCTCAAGGAGATGATTCCAATTTCATAAAACAGCCCTGGTAAGAGGCACAGAAGAGGGCGTTTAGAAGAAGCAGGCATCATACTGGGGGTCCTGGAGCTGTGTTTGTTTCAAGACCGGTTTCCTTAGTAAGGTGCCACTGAGCCCTCTTTTCTGCCTGGTTATTGACAATAAAGTATCCTTGGTCCCAGGATCTCTTATGACTATTTTGTTTTATCAGTGTTGAGTATCTGTCACTATCTCTAGACTCCCTAGACAAGGGCTCGTTCAAGAGAGGGGGTCTCTGTCCAATCCTACTTACATTTAACATAGCTGTAGTCTTTGGATATATTTTAATCTCTGCAAATTAACAGTCCGCTGCAGCAACATGCATTGCAAATCTGAGAAAAATACAGGATGTGGACACTTCTGACAACAAGCATGGGGAGAACAAGAGAAGACCAGCATAGATTCACACTAGTACCAGGCAGAGAAATGTTCTTGCATTTTTCCTTACCAATTTAACTCAGTTTGATGCTTTCCTTTTTTTCACCAGAAGGTGGGGAATTTTTCCGTCAGTGGTTGCATTTCACAGGGATAAGCTCCAAGGTCAACATCCTAGGAAAAGGTTATGATCTGAAATAGGTTTGGATAGGATGGGAGGGACTCTGAGAATATGGAAGAGAGGAGAGATTCTTCAAAAGGTTGGACAGAGATAGTGCAGTTAGGACTTTTCGACAAGCACAGTTGGTAGAAATTGGGTGACAGAGGTCCAAGTAATAAATTCTTAGGTTAGCACCAGGCTCAGGAGAGGAACATTTGAAAGTGCTTATCAAGATCCATAAAAGGAGTTATACTGGCTTGCCATTCTGCCCACCTCATCTTTAGTAATTATAATTCAATCTAGGGTCCTCATTTGGTTTCTACTTCTATCCTAAAATAAAGTGGGCAACTGTGAGACCAGGCTGAAGCTGCCATAACTAAAGATGAAGTAGGTACACAAGCAGACAGGACAAAAGGACTGGAATCTTGTCTAAAAGATCTGGAAAACCCAGGCAGAAAGCAAGAAGGGCTTACAAGATCCACATGCTTCAAGAGGTTGTGTGTGAGTGAATTACCATAAGCTGAACCTGGGAGCACCTGTCACACAGCCTAGCAGGACTGTGATCAGAGTCAACAGTGGACAGGAAACCTCACATGCTTTCTTTTTCTCTGTCCAGAGATTGCTCCAGGATGGACTGATTACAAAATTGGCCTGGCTAAACTGTACCAAGTTCTTAGTCATATGGGAGGTGCCTTCTTTCCCAGCTCATGTCCAGAACAACCATCTCAGCTGCCAAAGTGATTGGGGAAACCCTGACATTTTGGACATACAGCTGGCTCTCTTAACCCATGCTATGTTCTTCAGTCCTTATGCAGCCCCACTAGGGGTAGATATTTAGCACACAGTGGAAGCAGTAGCCCAGCCCGTGAGGTTCAACTGCTTGAAACAAGCAAGCAGATGGGGAGAGAGAATTCCTGCTGCGAGGTGGGTGGCCTACTTTATTTCTGCTTTTATGAAAGGAAAGCACAGCCCCGACCCTGCCACAGAAGCAGCTGGCAGGATGTTTGCCTCAGCTCATTTGCTAGAGGCAGGAGGTCTAAGCTGTGCTGTAATGTCAACCTTGACTTGGTGTTACCTTCATATTTTTGCCCAAAGAGCTCCGGTTAATTTAGAGGAAGGGCCTCAGTTCCTGCGTAACTTTATGGCAGGTAAGCAAGTGCTGTTTTGGGGGCAGTAATAGGGACACACAGATGATGGCCAGACAGGAGATCTGGGGATTCTTATTTGCCTTCTCATTTATTTTCCTCCACCTCTTCTTCCTATTTCTCAAATTTTCTCCTCCCTGGCAGACTTCCCTGATCTTCCAATCCATCTGTGGTTCTATGAAAGCCATGATTAAGGCCCCCAAATTTGCTGTTGAATTGTAATATTTAACGTGACAGTAAGTTGGAGGCAGGAGGTGGAATTAAAATTGTAACAGTAATTCAAATTTATTAAATGAGAATCAAAATCAATATGCATTTTCTATTTTTTTGGTAGCATCAGACTGTTGCCTCATGTTCACCTTGTGATCCAAGATCCTTTTCACATGTGCTGCTGCCCAATATGGTGTCCCTCATCCTATACTCATTTTTTTTTTTTTTTGCTTTCACCTACCCAAATGCGGGACTTCACATTTGTTCTTGCTAGAACTCAGTTTGCTGGGTTCTGCCCATTGTTCTCATGCTGCAAGATCCTTCTGCAGTCTGAGACTGTCTTTTTGGGTTTTTCCTATCCCCTATCTTTGTGTCACCCACAAATATGATAATCACATTTTCTAACCTTTCGTCCAATTCATTTATAAATATATCAGGCAGGACAGAGCCCAGAACCTCCTCCCAACTTCATGGGGTACCTCTCTCTCTTTCTCTCTCTCTCTCTCTCTCTCTCTCTCACACACACACACACACACACTTGAGAACTGGAGTTCAACCAGTTCTGTATCCATCCAATAACAGCATAGTCTAGTCCACTGTGTGAAAATCAAGATACACAATGTCCTTTCTAGCCACACTGGCCACTTTATCAAAAAAAGGAGATCAGGATAGTTTGGCATGACATCTTGATAAGCCTCTGTTGGCTCTTGCCAGACAAATACATTCTTTTCTAAATGCTCCCAACCATTTGCTTAGTATTTCCAGAGTTTTGCCTAGTATCATTATCAAGCCAACCAATGTACAATTACAGTATATGGATCTTATTTTTCCCCACTTTCTGAAAACAGAAACAACTTTTATTCTTCTTCAACTTCTGGCATTAGGCTGATCTTCCATGGTTTCTTACAGATGACAGAAAGGGGTTATAAAATGATAGCCACATGTTCTTTCAAGACTCGGATGTAAGCACTCTGGTCCTGGAGACTTCAGTTCTGTCAGGTGTTCTCTAACCATCTCTTCCCCTGTCCTGTTGGGGTGCCCTTCCCTGTGTTGGGGTGTTGCTCTGCTTAGGGTCCCTTTGAACACCGTTCCTCTTTGGAGAAAAGACTGAAGCCGTTCAGGAGCTCTGCCCCCTTCCTGTTCATCTCTCACTAACCTACCATCTTCTCCAAAACAGTGGGCCTGTCCCTTCTTCTTCTTTCTACTGCCGACATTGGTTTGTTTTGTTCTGTTTACTTTTTGTTGCTTTCACTTACAAACTTACATTCCTTTTGTGCTTTAGGCTTTCTGAATTTCTTTCTGTAGATATTAACCACTTGCTGATATGCCTCTTTAGTGATTGAATCCATTTTCTATACACGTGTCCTTTAATTCTTAGCTCAGTTTTCTCATTAGAATGGTGTGCAACTGGCATCTTATGTTTCAGATACTCCCAACTGTCCTGTGCTCCCTTTGACCTGAGGATTTCTGTCTGTGAGATCTTGCCTAGTATTGTTACATGCTCCCAGGTTTGGCTTTGGGTCACTCACTCACACACTCGCAGCCTGTTAAGGCACGTGGATCTTGTAAGCCCCCTTGCTTTCTACCTGGGTTTTCCAGATAGGAACAGATGAGACACACAGCCCTGGGCAACAGGCGGGAAGTAATTAGGGACACACACAAATCACTTCCAACTGAACACTGAGGCACAACAGGTTCTTTGGAATATACGGAGACCCAGTGAATTTAAAGTAACAGCAAAACTTTACTGGTTACAATGTACATTTGCCCTTTCTCACATGTACACGCACTCATCCCATGTCCTTCTCAACTAGGAAGCTGACGGTCTGGATCCAAAGAGGACTCAAGGAGGCTTCAGGACCCCTTTTTATCTCCAAAAGTTCTTGCTTTGGTAATTAGCTGGGATTGGCATTTTTTCCATGGGCTCAGGCCCAGCTTCCTTTGTCTGGTTCAGGTGACATTTTTTCCTTTGTTTCCTTAACAACTTGTTCCTTCCTCCATGAAGGGATCTTTTAGACAAGATTGCTGGCTTTTTGTCCTCTGCTTATAAACTTGCTTCATCTTTAGTTATGTCAGCTTCAGCCTAGTCTCACAGTACTTCCCTAAGCTTAGTGAAATAGGCTGTCCTCAAATCTATTGCATGCATACATATGCTCCAATTTCTTTCTGTTAGATCTTGAACCCCAAGAAGACCTGGTTACTTCTCTTAAGGTTCTTGCTGCTTTTACCTCTTTAACCAGTTCTTTTCCTACTGGTTTGAATCAGATCTAAGAAAGCAGACACCATGCCTCTTCTTCAACTTTCTGGAAAATGAAACAAGCAGCAAGACCACTGAGAAATTTGGGGAATCTTGCAGTCTTGGCCAGGTTGTTTTTCCAATAGATATCCAGGTAATTAAAGTCTCCCATTAGTAAAGTCTTAGTAAAGTCTCTCCTCCCTGAAAGTTTGGTATACATGTTCCAGGACGGCATTATCCAGATTTTCTGCCTGGCTTGTCAATTTATACCATATCCATGCAATAGTATATTTTATATTTCTTCCTTGTATTCTTACCCAAATATTTTCAACAGGAGCCCTGTGCTAAAATACTTGGATCATAATCAGTGGAGGGACAGCTAATACCTTATAAAACAATGGAGAATGCAGGAAAAGAGAAGCAGGAGATAGATGGAGAAGGAGGTCACTACTAAAGAAAATGGATAAAAAACAGTAACCAAAGTATATATTGCAGTGATTGTAAGCTAATGCTGTTTAATAGAGAGTCTCAAGCTAGTTTATAAGGAACAAACAGGTCTTTGCAATAGCGGAATAAAATCTGTGCCATCTGTGCTGAACGCTCATAGAATAGTCATGTGTATTAACAGCTACTGAAATCAGGAAGCGTTATGCGGTCTAATTAACAAAGGAGGGATTGTCCAACTCAGCATGATTAGCATTCATGCATTCCTTCCTGCAAGATATATTTAACCTTCTATCCAAACTTGCAGGATCCCTTTTTATCTCCACTCTCTCATCAATTAATATATCCAACTTTGAGACAAAGTATAAGACTTCACAAATCCCACAAATGAATTGATTAATAACCACAGGTGTATACTGCCTTATGAAATGGGAACCCAGTCCAATATTCTGCCCATTGAGAATCAGGATAATGTCAACATTGGAAGATGAGCCTTCCAGGTCAGAAGATATGTAACAAACTACTATAGAAGACAAGAGGCAAGTATGAGTAGCACTGGTGTTTATGACATGGCTGGATTAAAACTGAAGGAATGTCTTCGTGTTGATCTGGCCAGAGACAACCGGAAAGTTCAGTGCTGGAAATATATGTATACTGTGCGTATAAAGAATGTCAGAACCCAAACTAAGGCTCGCATCTGTGGAGATGGCTGGTGGGATGATGGGTTTGGTTCCCCCCCCAGCATCTTGAAGGTTTTAAGGCTAAAAATTACAGGGGGGGGTTGGGTTAGGATTTTTAATGTATGTTTCTATTTTTAATTATTTATGGATTTTAGCCATTGTTGGAGGGATTGACGTTTTTTCCTTTTTTGTTATC